TTACAATTCTTTATACTCACATTCACACTGAATAACATCTAAGTTGAACTGCTGAATGGCCCCCATACTGATCTGTTTGAGCTCCGTGTCCAACAGCATCTGCATCAGTGATGTGGACAGATGCTTGCAGGCTGACATACAAGCTGTCTGGGCCACTTTTCCCTGCACAGGGAGAGATTCAGGGAGAAGGACGGCACAGACAAGAAGCAGGAGAAGAGATGAAGGATGGAAAGATTAGGATGGGGACAGAGTTGGTAGAGGATGAGGATGAGAGGAGGGGAAAGCGACAGAATGAAGTCATTTGATGGGGTGAACATTTTATAAAGAGAGAACGGGCAGTATTTGAGTTTTAAAAATATGTAGGAAGGCCAGGATGGGAAAAGGAAGGTGAATAATAACAGATTGAGATAAACAGTTGGGGTAAAAAGTTCGAAAGAGAAGAAGGAGGAGGAGGGTATGTGAAAAGAGGATATAGGAGTAATACAGAAATGGGGAATAAAGAGCAAGAAGGGCAAAGGATAATTCCATGTTAGTGTTGTCTCAAATTCTTCATGAACAGGTATAAATATAGTACTGTGCAAAAGTCTTGAGTCACCACTATGTTCTGTATTTGCTAGAAAATGGAAAAATTTATTGAAATGTTTACAGGTTATGTAAACATGAAAAAGTTAAATGAAAAATTAAAAAGTCACACATATTTGTCACACACACGGTGTTTCAGATCATCAAACTAAATTAAACAATGAACAGAGATGAACCAAGTAAATCCAAGATATTATTAAATGATTAGTAGCCATTAACTAAGGAAAGAAGCTATTCAAACCGGCCTCTCCCTGTGTAATTCTGGGAATTACCCCAGACAGTAATAACTGGTTGTGCCACTCTGCAATCAAACATTTGTGATAACTACCAGTGAGTCTTTATCAGCATATCAACCTGATTGGACTTGAGGCCCAAACCTTGAATATGTATTTATGGACCCATTCTTGATGGACTTGCTGGTGTGTTTTGCTCCGCTGCATAACTCAAGTGTGTTTGAGCTGCAGGACATGAGTGGATGAACTTCCCTCTCTTTGTTATCATCCAACTACATTTGAGACCAAACGATGTCATTGCTGTAAATCCTGGTGGTCAGGATGGATCAGTGAATCGATGTCTCGTTCACTCTTGACATACAGCTTGATGTCATCCATGTACAGGAGGTGGTCAGTATCTGTAGCCAGTACTGTCAATGATCTCACTGAGAGGATTCAGGCCTATGCAGAACAGCAGTGGGGACAGAGCATCTCCTTGGCAGATCTCGCACTTGATGGTGACTATATATGTGTGTATATATATATATTTCATTTTCTCATCATTGCCTAACATTATACCGGTATTACCATGAACGGTATGATATGGCCCAGCCCTAGGTGGGAGAGGCCGTTTCTCCCAATCACACCCTACCAGGTCTCACTGTTGTTGTCGTGCTGCTCATGTGGAGAGAGTCCCCGGGTGGAGTATCTCAAGCTCCTCACCCAGGGACTCCGAGAAGGAGGGTGGTCCCATGTCCCTCAATGTTGTACTGAGTCTTCTGAATCGCTCTTGACTGGTCCCACACCCAGGACCAATTTGTAGGGAGAATGTACCATCGGATAAAAAGCCCTGGGATCCCTGGGACAC